GCTTCTTTGTATTCTGATTCAGCACCTCCTTCTAGCCAACTGTTGTTTTGGTGAGAGTAGTTCTGCGGGGCTATCTAAATAGGTACTTTGCTTCTGATTTTCTTGGTTGTTCGACTTGGTAGTTATGACTATGGTCCCTTCTACTTTCTCTGTTGTGACTTCCACTTGGTCCAAGTCTCTCGAAAGTGGACTTCCTTTGATTTTGATCTTCCTGCTTATGAGATGTTGACCTAGCATGTAGTCTTGAGCGGGTCCTTCCGTCGTATGTCTTTAGGGTTGTTGACCGGAGAAAGTTCCGGAGCTGTTCCTGTCTTTCACTGGGATGTGAGGTCGCTCCGAGTTCTTCTAGTGCTTCTCGGATCCTATTGTAGGGTGTATTCGCCACGCGTCTTTCTTCGACTTCTTGTTCTGATTTTTTTCTATTGTACTCGGCCAGATCTGACTCATATCTGATCCAAGCTTTCTTACGCTGCCTAGCACGGCGTTGGCGACCTTGTTTCAATTTGTTTCTTCTTTCTCTGGCTTGCTTCTAATTCTCGGTCTCACCATCGTGCCCCTAGGTAAATGGTGATATGTTGGACTCAGATTCATCCAATGACCTGATGTCGGGTGCTTCTGGGGGGACCAATGATGATCGAGGACAACGAACCATGAATACTTCTCGTGAGTGAATTGTTCTGTTATCGGCGTCGGTTTCCACACTGTCATAGTTGTTGACAACTTTAGTAGAGGCTTCAAGGTCGCAGATCAAGTCTCCTTCTTGGTAGGGTAGAATTGTTGTTGTCGTCGTGCCGACTAGTCGAGTACCGCTATCCTCAGGAACAGAACCTGGCCAGTGGACGATGTAGTCTTAAGATATTATAGTTAGTATGAGACCTTCCTGAGCTCCTTTCAGCGACATTCTAAGCACCGAATCGAGGGATCCTTCGGGCCGTGCCTAATAAGATTTTGCCATGTTGTGGAGTCCGAACGGAAAAGGACCCGACTTCTTGAAAGGACTCTGAGTGTACTCCGAGTTGTATTCTTGATAGGGCGAGGCCGTGCTCTAGAGCCCCGCCGGAAAAGAACTCGTACTACTCTCAAGAGAACTCTGAATGTTTTCCGAGTTGAATCCTTGATAGGCCGAGGCCGCGTTCTGGAACTCCTGCCGGAAAAGAACTTGGTTTCTCGAAAGAACTCGGGTAAGACTCCATCTCGGATGAGGAGCCTGAGTTTGAGTCGGATGCGCAAAGCCGTGAAATCTGAGTTGGATCGGACATCACGAGCTGCGCGAATCTTCTGGCGAGTTGATCTGTCGTAGTCGCTGAAATAGAAAGGTCTTCATGGTGATCCGAATCTTCGAGGAGACGGCTTTGAAGCTTGCCATCGTCGTCTGCCTCGTAGATCCATGAACCGAAGATAAAGGTTGATCCCGTCGAGAAGATCATATTGTCGAGGTCCGTCGAGCTCTCGGATGCAAATTCGCCGAAAGCCTCTACCTGGCGCGCCAGCTGTCGATGGTTCACCACCGATAGCATGTCATGGGGGTACCGGGCAGTTTGTTTGGGCTTCGGCGTATGCAGAACTCGACGGTAAACGCAAGAGATAGTCGATTTATCCTGGTTCGGGCCCTCGATCGTGATCGAGTAATAGCCCTACGTCCAGTCGGCGTTAGCCTTTGCGTTGGATTGATGGTCAAGTGTTGTCTCTCTTTCCTACAGGAACCCCGCCCTCCTTTATGTAGTCAGGAGGTCAGAGTCGTAGTCGGTTTACAATGAAAGTTCTAGTAGGATTATAGAATAATACTACTACTAAGATTATATGGAGAGAATTCTAGTTAGACTAGATCTTCTCTAAGGTATCCCGTGGGTCCCGCATCGACAAGTAGGGGATGCTTTTATGAATTTTTTGCTATAACCTGTTTGGATAAAAGCATCCCGCGTGGAGAGGTAATTTGAATTTCCTTTTTTTGGCCACTTACCATTGCGTTTGTGTTCTGTTTCTTGATACATTATATCTGATGGTATTTCTTCGCCAGATCCGGTGCGTTCTTCAAGAGCATTTTAGCTCATGTGGAGAGATTACCCGGATTTCCATTCCAAAGGATTATGACACTGGTGTAAGCAAAGTTTCTGTTGGCTCTTAACATATCATTCTTTTATACTTAGGTTTGGGCCTTATTTTTTCAGCAAGATATTCAGGAGGCATGATGATATTACTTGTCGTTGACTCATTGACGCAACGCTTTGCTTGGTTTGCAGAATAGCATACATGGATTTCAAGGACCCAGATTCCTTGAATAAAGCATATGAGCTGAATGGAACCGACCTCGGTGGCTACAGCTTGTATCTTGATGAAGCGAAGCCGAGACCCGATAACAACAGCGACGGCGGCTTCAGTGGGGCAGAGAGGAGGGAGGAGTGACAAGGTGCGTGGTGGTGGCCGTGGGCGTGGATTTGGAGGCCGTGGTGGCCAGGGTACGCCTAGTACAGGTAAAACAATTACTTGGGTTAAGAATTGTTTTGCCGAATTAATTTCTATCCAGTTGGAGTTATGTTTGTTGTGTCCGCTTGATTTGGAACTGGGTTCAAACTTTGCAGGAAAGAAGACAACATTTGGTGATGACGACTGAAGATCCATGGCTTGCGATTTATAGTGAAACTCAAACTATACTGTACCTTTCAGACTTCTGAGGTCGGGGACAGGACGGGCTGCGGTGGCTGTGGTTCAACTTGCAGGTGGGCTCGTTCACGGCCGGCCGCTAACCCGCCTCGCTTGCCGCAAAGTTTATTAGCGGGCCTGCGGCTTACCACAAAGCTGTGGATCTTGCGGATAAGTGTTCCGCGGACACAACAAACTTGTATGCAAAACCCGCAAGATGTACAGTACAGTATCTAAAAATTATTAGTATCCCCAAGCTCAAGTCTGACCTTTTTCCAGAGGCCCTCCATCAATTGCCCTACGTTAGGCCTGTGCATTTCAGAAGTTGCAACAAATATATTCTTTTGGACTGACTTTCAAATTGCTGTAATCAGTCAGTGTACGGTAAGCAATCAATCTAGCTAAGCTGTATATTAGCAAGGAGTAAATGAGTATAAGAATTTCTTCAGTATATAATATGACTAGACGTCTAGATGTGCTTTTTATGATTATCTGTTACTTGGTAAAAAGGGCATATCATCCAGAACAGCTTTCAAGTCTGCAGATTCAGATTTTTCTATCTCATAGGCAAGAATATCTGGCTGCGGAACATCTTCAATCGTCAATTTACAGTTTATTTCAGTAATTCCCGCCACAACGCACAGGTATCGCCTAGTTGCAAAGGGAGTACTCCATCCAGGTTACATGTGGACTTGAGTAGTCAAGTCAGTGTGTATCAGATTCAGACTACAGCCTGTTCGTTTGGCGTCAGTTGCTTGCGGACAACAGTCAGTCAGACAGAGCAACAGTCAGATTCAGACTAGTTGTTTGCGTTAGTTGCTTGCGATGGATGGGAGAGCAGAGGAGGGTGTTGCGGGTCTTGCGGGTTGTTGCGAGGCTTCTCGCTCGCCCAATGGGTTTGGAGGGTCGGAAGTCTTTGGGCCACGAAAAAATTGCAGCTGGTCCACAACAGCCACGAAGCCCAGTTTTGCGGGGCGGGCGGGCGGGTTACGTTAACAACCCGCCCCGCCTGCAACTTGAGCTGTGGTAAGAGAAGAGGCGCCGATGCCCGATGCCCGATGCATGCGTCGGCAGCGCCGTCGGGCCGAGTAGCCGTCCCTTGGGCCCTGGGCGGGCGGGAGGATTCCTGAGTTTGTTGGGCTGGGCCGAATGCTCACGTGACGTGGACTGGCTTCTCGACCTGTTGAGTGTTGAGTACTTTGCTAGAACTTGGGCTGTAATGGCTGCACATGCAGAATAAAATGTTTTCTGATTGTTTACGATCAGGTTGTCGGGTCTGTGCGCGGGTTAAGACTTAAGATATTAGATCTAGTTGTAAGCGGCAAGTGGATTTTTCCGGTCTTCAAAGCCACATTTGCGAGGGTGTTCGCTTTCTTTGTTGTCTTTGTAGTGTGATCTTCAAGCTCCGACAGGTACTAGATTTCCGAAAAAAAAGATCGATTTGATTTTCGATGTACTCTTATTTTTTAAGGACGTTTCATGTCTTTGTGTCCATTGTTTATACTAGCCTTTGTTTTCCTCTTAGATATATCACATGCGTTCTGTCAAAAAAAATCAGTCCATGTTAGACCCTATTTACCTCGGGAAAAAAAGGTGGCCCGCGCTCATCCAACTGGAAGTGTATGGTTTAAAAAATAACTCATTATACTTTTCATAAGGTATGCTATTGTTAATTATTCTGCTATTACCGTTACAAATATTATAGTTTTTTAATAATATTTTAGCACCGCTAATCATAACCAAGTATATATTCATTCTTTTGTCTAGAGACTACACTGTCTCTTCTTTAAATTCTTTACTTATTATAAATGAGGTAATTAACCATTGCATAGTTATTGAACTATTGAATGTTGATCGCAGCAGTAAGTATGTTGATTGATATGACCAATATATGTCAAGTAAATGACTTGGAAATATGTTTTGCTAGATCTCGTATATGTATCTGAATATTTGTGTTTCATAAAATTTTGCCTAGTGAGATATTTTCGTACATAATTAATTATGTATTTTTCATGTTTTCTATAAAAACCGTTAAATGGAATAGCATATGTAATAGATTGCTGTACTTTTTGTTTAGTTTTTGGAAGATGCCAACGCTAGTCCACTATTTGTAACATTGGCGGGTAAGTGGCTTATGATCAGTCGGGCCAGTAAAAAGGACAGATCTCTGCATCCTCAGAAAGGAGTAGAATGGAACACACCTTGCTCAACAGAACCATCATACACGGGCATCACTGCCGCTGTACATGTTTTATGCACGGATCACTACCACTATGTACACGAAAACCTACACCTATTACAACGCTTCTGTTCATGGCTAGCAGTTTCAGGTGACTATGCTAGCAGCTCGGCACATTCGATCATGCATCATTCCTTCGATCGGCAGCTTCACGTGCAACTCCAACTTCCCGGTGCAGCGATGGCTTTCCAGCTTCCCGGCGCAGAGATGCAAACGGTGCCAGCTGCTCAAGGCGATGGTTGATCTCCTCGCCGATGGGCACCGAGTAGAAAGACGGCGTTTGCTTCGGCCTGATGAGGTCGACCACACGATCAGAAGCATGCGTCCATGAGGCAGCAGCAGCAAATTGCGGCAAAACCTGCACAGCTGCCACCAGAAAAAGATGGTGATAGGACATACTGGATCATCAAAAACGTCATTATATCATGTTAACATGCCCCCCGTTGCCGTTCATAAATACAGTAATCATCACGAGTTAATTTTCCTTCTCTATACGAAGTAGCAGGCATGGAAAACCTGACGCCTGTTGGCCGATCATGTCGGCATACGGCTAGCAACAAAAATTTGGCAGCCGTTGCGACCTTTCTTTCGGCCCGCATGGATGGCCGACCTCTCAATGACAGTCCGTCCGGGGACGTGTCAACGGCCCAACAGCACGGCTGTGTTGTTCCAAATTTCTATCTGCATCTGCACCAAACAGGAGCACGCGCGGCGATTTCTGTTGGGCACGTACCATCCTTCCGCGAACGACGCGCCGGTCTTCCGGGGAGGCGGAGGCGGCGGCGGCGGTTGCGCGTACGGCGGCGGGTACATCGCCGGCGGCGGCTGGCCGTACGGAGATGCGTACACCGGCTGGCCGTACGGCTGCTGGTACATCGGCGGCGGCGGCTGCTGCCCGTACGGCGACGCGTACATCGGCTGCGGCGGAGGCGGCCCGTACTGCTGGTGACAGTGGTGGTGGTGGAGCTCCTCCATCCCGCGCTCCGCGTACGGGTCCATCGGGTACCCTGGCACGTCAGGTCAGGTCAGGTCAAATTGAAAGACACGTCAGCATCTCCAGAGGAACACGACGATGCGCAAGTGTCGGTCGGTCAACCAGTTGGGAATTAGGGGATCTCAAAAATAAAATGTTGTGGGATCTGCGAGACTGCGAAACGAAGCGAGCGAGATTCAGGTCGCGGAGACAGTCAGATCAGACAGCATAGTATTCGATCGGAGGAGCATGACGATCACGAGTTATTGTGATTGGTGGAAATGGATAGTCTAATCTAACAAGGATATGAAAAAAGAAATAGGAGTACGTCGGAGGAGTCGGCGACGACAAGTCACCTTGTGGCGGCGGCGGGGGCGGAGACGGGGAGGGGCACGGCGACGGGGGCGCGCCGCCATGGCCCTGGGGATTGTAGTAGCTCATCTTCTCCGCTGGAGCAACGGCAGGATCGGAATTGGAATCGCAGTGGCAATGGTGGTGGTGGTGTTTGCGTACAATAATCGCGTTGGATTTCGAGAAGAACAGAGAGGGAAACGCGACGAGAGGATGCCGAGGGATCAACAGAGGAAGGAGGATTATGCTAATTTGGTCGAGGGCGATCGTTTTTGTCGACGCAAGCTATAGGCTATTCCTGGCAGGCAATTCGACGGCTCGCTGCGTTGGGCAGGGCTGAGGGCTGACGAGTTGCACTAGTACAACACAATGGCCAGAAGAAAACGAGACGTTCCCAGCAGCATCGACCGGACCGGACCATTTCGGAGGCGCGATCCGTCATGTTGCCGCACGAATCTTTTACTCCAGCAACTGCAGTGTATGGGCGCTAGCCAGGAATTTCGCCGGGCGGCAGGGCATGCATCTGCCCGCCTACGCTACGAACTGAGGATGCCGCAGGCACTTATCATGTCGCCAAAAAAGATGCTAGCTGCACTGCATTGCACGTGTACGTGCCACAGCCACGCAGCTGCAGTGCAGATAGGGATGAAAACGGTCGGGAACGGTCGGGAAAATGTTTTAACCATTCTCGCTCCTGTATTTTTTGGCCGGGAACGGGAACGGGAACGAGAATGGGAACGGAAAGGCCGGACGGGAAAACGAATTCGGTATTACGAGATATCGGGAACGGAATATTTCGAACGGGAACGTGTCGATTACGATCGGGAAGCGGTAATACAAAACGGAAACATCGATATATGTAACCACTTGAAACAGTGAGCTCGATGCAACAATAGCAACCATGCATAATCCATATGCAAACAATAGCAAGCAGTTAGCTCGTCAGAATATTTATGCAAAGAAAACTACAGAACTACCAAAAAAAAGAAAATGGAAAAGAAAAATGAACAAAGGCCAAACCTTGCTGCTCCTGTGCTCCATGCGTGAATTCCTGTGCCAAGCAACGATCTGTGGCCTTCTCCTGCATGCTGCCCATTCCCGCTTTGTGGCCTTCTCCTGGGCCAAGCAACGATCTGTGGCCTTCTCCTGGGCCAAACCATCAGCTCACTGTTCCGACGGTATCACTGGGCCAAGCATGGAACGATGGAACGTTGGGCTATTTGCAGGCCTTAAAAACGGGAATTTCCCGCGGGAATTTTCCAGAGCAAATACGGGATCCGCTAATTCGGTCGGGAAATCACTCTAACCGATTTCGATCCCGGATTCGCCGAATTTTCCGGATTTCTTCCCGAACCCGTTTTATCCCGAGAAAATGATATCCGGTCGGGAATTTCGGTATTCGGTGTTCAGTCGGTACGGGAATTTCCCGTTCCCGCTTTCATCCCTGAGTGCAGCAGCGACCAGGGGAAACCGCATCAGCGAACAGCGGGCCGAGCCCTGGATCCGTTCGGGTCATCTGCTCCGTTAGCTAGGCTGATAAGTCATGACTAAAAGTACTCTTAACTGATTTGTTACGAAAGAAAAATAGTATTTGTTAGGTAAAAAAGTACTCCCTCCATCCCAAATTGTAAGACGTTTGACTTTTTTGTCTTAAATTTGACCACTCGTCTTATTTAAAAAATTTGTGCAAATATAGTCAAATTTAAATCATTCTTGAAGAATTTTTATTAATAAACCAAACCACGACGAAAAAAGTGATATTTTACACAAATTTTTGAATAAAACGAGTGGTCAAACTTGATATCAAAAAAGTCAAATGTCTTAATAATTTGAAATAGATTGAGTACGACTTATAAACCAAACCGACCGCTGCCAGCAAAGGACACCTGTGACCTGTGCCTGCAACACGTCTCCCACACGCTTGCGCTGCGCGTCTGCTCTCTGCAGTACTGCGAGATTGACGAAACGAAACACTGCGGATGCCATGCCACCGCCGTGCACCGTCTGGGCATCCGGCATCTCGGCGCGGCCGTGCGCATCGATGCTGTGCTATGCCCTGTGCAGGCGTTGAGGGAGTGCTCTCTGCCCGGGGCCCGGGCTCGCTCGAGACCTCGAGTTGCATTGCATCAGTGCACATGCTTGTTGGTCGGTTCGTGTCCTCCGGGGAAATCATGGCTCCTTGCTGCACGTGCATTCAGAGCTATCAATAGCACACGCAGAGTCAGAGAGGCTCGGATCGCTTTATGCAATGCAACGACAGATAGCCTGTTGACTGGTTGGTTTCAGCTAGGATTTATCAGTCAGCTAACAGTATTTTTTTTCATAACAAACTAGCATCAGCCGGGCTTATCAACTCAGAAACCAACCAGCGAATAGACCATCCGAAGTTGGCCCAACCGACAGGGACTAAAGATAGTGACGGGTACCCGAATTCCCGTGGGTTTTTTACCATATTAAGATATGAGTCTGGGTCGATTTCTCTACTCATGGATTTATTAGTGGACGAAAAGTTAGACCCAGTGGATTTGTCGGCATGAGTGTGGAAATGTAGTATCTAAACCCATAAACCCATGGGTTTTTTTAAACCCGATCCAAGATAGCAGAGCAGTTCATATCAACCCACCTAATCTATATATCACACGCACTTTGTATAAATAAAATTGAAATAATATCTAATGGTATGGAAATCAGTTTTGAGTTAGTATTAGAAAAGGTATGGGTTTTTTAAACCCGGTCCATGATAGCAGAACAGTTCATATAAACCTACCTAATCTATATGTCACACGCACTTTGTATAAATAAATTTGAGATAATAATATCTAATGGTATGAAAATCAGTTTTGAGTTAGTACCAGAAACGGTAGATTTTTGTATCCAATATCACAGGAGCTATTTGTTTCTAAATATCTATGAAATAAATCTGAATGTGTATCGATATCATGGGTGATCCGTGGGTACCCATGATCCGAATGGGCATGGATTTGGGCATAAAATTAAACCCGTCATGGGTCATGGGTTTTTAGCAGGCAAATTTTATTTTCGTGGGCATAGGTCCTATGTTGGGATGGCAAAACCCAGCGGATTTGTGCCCGTTGCCATCACTAACATGGACGATTCAGGGGCATTCTTCAGAATACAGGTTTCAAAGAACGCAAAAAATACAGGCTCCCGTTCCATCAGTTGGGCACGTTGACATCGTGCGCTAGGGCCTTGTTTAGATGGGGGTAGAAATCAGTATTTAGATTGTGTAAGACTTTCGTTTGTATTTGATAATTATTGTCCAATCATGGCCTAACTAGGCTTAAAAAATTTGTCTCATAATTTACAATTAAACTGTGTAATTAGTTATTTTTTTTATCTACATTTAATACTCCATGTATATGTCCAAAGATTTGATGTGATGAAGAGAGTGAAAAAACTTAATCTCAACAAGGCCTAGGTCCATTATGGCGTTTCGATTCGAATCGACGACTACTGCATGTGCTTCGTTTATTATGATGAATGAAAGGGTCTGTCTGGCGTTCGAAAACTACGTCAAATCGAACCATAAACGTCGTCCAGCCGCTGTCCATGATGATGATTCAGCTCACAAAAAAAAAAAAAAATAGACTAAAGATTTTATACGATACCGTATACTACTACTCGTACTCGCCTGCCACCTTACAATTACAAACACACCATCAAATCCATAAATACTGCTACTAGTCTCCTGCTGCTAGCCAACTGCTACCACTACTATCTGGAGCTGCTGGTATCCATCCATCCACACCGGGCGGGGCACTAACAATCGGTGAGCAGTCGAAGCTCCGTGCGAAGTCAATTGCAACTTGCGAGAGGCTGACAGCGTATTGTAAAATAAGTAGTATCGGAACCCGGCTGATAAGTCAGCTGAAACTGTTTTTCGGCTGATAAGTTCAAACCAACTTGCTTATTTTACAATGCGCTGTCAGCCTCGCAAGTTGCAATTGACTTCGCACGGAGCTTCGACTGCTCACCGACCGCGACCGAACGCTCGAGCTGGCGCCCCTCACCCTTCGGCGATGCTCTGAAGCGCGGGCCTCCATTGCCGGGCGGCTCGGCGGCCGAGCAACGCCTCGTGCGGCAGGAGCGCCTCCAGCTCGGCGTCGAGGTCGGCGTCGGACGGCGTGTCGGCATGCTTGGCGCTGGGGCCCGTGGACGGGCCTGCATCCGGCTCCAGCTCCTCCGCCGTCTGGGGCATGACCTGGATTGATGGGATCCGGAGTGAATGCGCTGCATAACATAACTACACGGGGCGGCAGGCGGCTTGCCAAACGCGGTACGCGGGACGTGATCAGTGGTTGGAGACTGCAAATGGAAGGACCATGGAGGGGCCCGGCGTACCTTGGCGAGTGACCACTCGGATGATTCCTTGCGCTCTCCGCCTCCGCCGCCGCCGGCGCTGGCCCTGGGGCGACGGCGGCGATGCTTGGACGCCGGCTTCACGTCCTCGGCTTCGTCCTTGGCCCTGACCGTGACGCGGCTCAGCTTCACCTGCCGCTTCGACGCGAACTCCCTCAGCACCTCTGCTCAAACACACCCACAGTTCATTCATCTTCATTAGTTGGACCGGCAGGCATCAAAAGCGACATGCGAAAAAGGAAGGCGGACAGGGAAACAACTGTTTTGGAAACGATGATGAACTGGCGTTCTGGTCCAAATACGGACGCGCGCCATGAAAGTTCAGAAAGGCGCTTCGTAACCTACGGTCCCCTCGTCGCCTTAGTCAACAATGGCATTCAAACGGAACAAGACACAAAATCTCATCTTTATCCGTGCACAAGAACGCACAAGCACCTCATGCGCGCGCAGCAAGATGACGGGGCGGCCTAACACGGCCAAACAACGTAACGCACGCACAGGCACAGTACCTTCGAAGCTGACAAGGCGGTAGACGCGGCCGAGCAGGAGCGTGTCGTCGGGGCGGAGCAGCTTGAGGTGCTTCACGGGCGCAGCGGCGGCAGAGGAGGCTGCTTCTCCGTCTCCCGCGGCCGGCTGCGGCGCGGTGGTGGTGATGACGGCCGCGACGTAGTGGCCCGGGTTGGCCTCCATGACGGCCGCGGCCGAGAGCGCCCAGTAGGCGCGCTCCGTGCGGCCGCCGCCCGGGTGCTGGATCAGCACCGTCGCCACCTCCGCCGCCTGGCACTGGCAGTTGCCCATCGGTGCGTGCCTGCCTGCCTGCCTACTGCGGCGAGCACGCGCGTTCCGCGTGTTCTTTTTCTGCGGCGGGGGAGCCGGGGAGGAGGGGAGGGGAGGGGCAGCCGGGAAGCGAGGTGGGCGAGTGAACCGCGGGCGCTAGCGGCGCCGAACGTTTTATAGGGTGGTTGGCGCGCACCGCGAGTTCAGCGCGATGGAAGCCGACGACGCACGGTAGCTGCCCCCCCGGCCCGGCCCGCGTGGTCTCGTCCGATTGCATAGTGGGCGCACGTGATACGTGGCGGATAGTTTGGGGATTTATTTAGTACTAGCAAATATGTGCGTGCATTGCAACGAGTGAAAAAAAAACTATCCAACATTCATACAAAATGATAACGTGAATGGTACGTATGTAGTTCTGTTTTATCCTTTTATAATTTATTTTATGGTAACCGTGACCTCCATAATATAAGTTAATATTAACAATAAATAACAATGTGTTACTAAATCTGTATCAAATTGAAATACATCTTGGTAGTTTTTCTTTCATTGTAAAGCACATAATTATTTAGCTATAAGTATATCATAACTTTAATTTTCATAATACCCATGTGTTTCTATGACTCAATATCGACCTCTGTAGTTTTTTTATGCATCATATCAACCTCCGTAATTTTTTTTTTGTCAATGTGCCAAGGATTTGTCAATCCATCGGTGATTGAGACCTCTCTTGAATTTTCAAACGGCAGTCCTCGTCAGGTATTACATAAATACATTTGTATAGATTTCATTAGATAATAATCTGCAAAGTTTCTGGTTCATGAAATATTTAGTTGCGCCGCAAAACTGGTTTGCCATTTTTATGATTTTTATATGATTTTAACGGATTTTGCAATATCTCTATTTTAATAGAAAAAGAGAAAAAAGGAAGAAAAGAAAAAAAAATGCTTGCATAGGCTTGGTCCAGCCTACAACGAAAGCCAGCCCAACTGCAAGGATTCAACCCCAGGTTGAATGGTTTGGCATTTTTATGATTTTTCTATGATTTTAGCGAATTTTGCAATATCTCTGTTTTCGTAGAAAAAGAGAAAAATGAAAGAAAATAAAAAATGCTTGCATAGGCTTGGTCCAGCCCACAATGAAGCCGGTCCAATTGCAAGGATTCAACCCAGGTTGAAAAAGAAGCCCACCAGAAGAGGCTCACTTGGATCTGAATATTTTGCATCATGAACCCTGATATATTTTCAAAAATTATTAAGGCCCTCCCACTTTTTCTTTGTCTCTAGTATCTTTACATCTGAAACCCCATATTTTTTATATTCTCTTCCCTACTCCTAATCGATGTTGGCAATAAGACCGAGACCGAGACCGGGCCAGTGAGATTGGGGGAGGAAGAGGCAGAAAAAAATACGGTGGAAATTATACCTTTTTATTATTAGGTGTGTGTAGGTGTATATATATATATATATATATATATATATATATATATATATATATATAAAGGGAGCCAAATCCGTATTGAAATTCTACGGGGTTCGGTTACATTCCACAAACCATAAATGTTCCTTTTCCAAAACTTGTAGCGTTGTAGGAGCAGCACGAATTCTAGTATTACTCATGTCAGCTTGTTCCAGAGCTCGTTATCAAGATCAACACTGGGATCACTGTTTGTGTTAGGCGTGCAAACAGTGAAACAGTACCGAGGTTAGCTACGCCATGCAATGATGCAACCTGCAGCTCAGTTGATTGGCAACCGCTTGGAAAAATCAGCAGACGTGAGAGGGACAGAGACCAACGTCCTGTGACAATTCAAACAGTAATTTCCAGCTTTCCCTATCTTCAATTTTAAGATCTTTTCGGAGGGCTTGTCCCGAGCTTTATGCAGTACTAACACGGGTACTTCCGCTGTCCCGAAAAGTATGCAATTTTATGTCATTGATTCTAGTCCAACAAAATATACAATTTAGACTTGTAGCTGCATAGGATAGCCAGACAATGGGTCCTTTTAGCTACAAGTCTCTGAACCCATCTTCTCCCTGCACCACCTTCTCAGAGCAAGGTCAATAATAGAGCCAAGTGTTTGATTATAAGTCAAACTATAAGAGATAAGTTATACAAATAATTGTCTTCTACTCCTTCCGTCCTAAAATATAGTGTATTATGGTATTTGAAATTTATCCTGAGCCGTGCAATGCTGAAAAGAGCGGCAAACTCAGCCCGCTGTTGCGCGCCTTCCTTGGACGCATTTTTTTGCCCTCAAGGGCATATACTCCCATGCCCAATGCCGAGGCATACTGCCTTCCTCACGTTGGATGGAGTTGGGGGGGTGTCCCTGCTCTACCTCGCGCTCAAGTTGCTGTAATGTTGCGGAGGCGCTGCTGGCGTCGACTCGTGGCGAAGGCCGTCGCCGCGGCCGTGGCGAGGGCCGCGGCAAACGCCCAGTGACCAGTGATCCCGTGGTCGCGGCCAACAAGGTAACGAGTGTGCATTATCAAATGTTCCACCTGTCGACGACAAAAAAGCGACGGGGTTTATGATAACCGTGACCACCATAATATAAGTTAATATTAACAATAAATAACAATGTCTTACTAAATCTGTATCAAATTGAAATACATCTTGGTAGTTTTTCTTTCATTGCAAAGCACATAATTATTTAGCTATAAGTATATCATAACTTTCATTTTCATAATACCCCTGACTCAATATCGACCTCTGTAGTTTTTTGATGCATCATATCAACCTCCGTAATTTTTTTTGTCAATGTGCCAAGGATTTGTCTATCCGCCGGTGATTGAGACCTCTCTTGAATTTTTAGACGGCAGTCCTCGTCAAGTATTACATAAATACATTTGTATAGATTTCATTAGATAATAATCTGCGAAGTTTCTGGTTCATGAAATATTTAGTTGCGCCGCAAAACTGGTTTGCCATTTTTATGATTTTTATATGATTTTGACGAATTTTGCAATATCTCTGTTTTAATAGAAAAAGAGAAAAACGGAAGAAAAGAAAAAAATGCTTGCATAGGCTTGGTCCAGCCTACAACGAAAGCCAGCCCAACTACAAGGATTCAACCCTAGGTCGAATGGTTTGGCATTTTTATGATTTTTCTATGATTTTGACGAATTTTGCAACATATCTGTTTTTATAGAAAAAGAGAAAAATGAAAGAAAATAAAAAAGGCTTGCATAGGCTTGGTCTAGCCCACAACAAAGCCGGCCCAATTGCAAGGATTCAACCTAGGTTGAAAAAGAAGCCCACCAGGAGAGGCTCACTCGGATCTGAATATTTTGCATCAGGAACCTTGACATATTTTCAAAAATTATTAAGGCCCTCCAACTTTTTCTTTATCTCTAGTATCTTTACATCTGGAACCCCATATTTTTTATATTCTCTTCCCTACTCCTAATCGATGTTGGCAATGAGACCCAGACCGAGACCGGGCCAGTGAGATTGGGGGAGGAAGAGGCAGAAAAAAAATACGGTGGAAATTATACCTTTTTATTATTAGGTGTGTGTATGTGTGTGTATATATATATAGGGTAAGGCTATTCAGCAGCTGGCCATAAAATAACTTATTCTATAGTCATCTTGATTTACCATAATGTTTATACCAATTTACGACGATACTCGTGTTACTATAACTCACGGTGATATTTACCATAATGTTATAGTAACTCTTAGTAGGGAGTTACTATAATATGATAAATTAACATAGTAATTATCGTAACTCAAAGTGGTCATAGAATAAGTTATTTTATGGCCAGCTGCAGAACAGTAGTTCTATATATATATATATATATATATATATATAAAGGGAGCCAAATCCGTATTGAAATTCTACGGGGTTCGGTTACATTCAACAAACCATAAATGTTCCTTTTCCAAAACTTGTAGCGTTGTTGGAGCAGCACGAATTCTAGTATTACTCATGTCAGCTTGTTCCAGAGCTCGTTATCAAGATCAACACTGGGATCACTGTTTGTGTTAGGCGTGCAAACAGTGAAACAGTACCGAGGTTAGCTACGCCATGCAATGATGCAACCTGCAGCTCAGTTGATTGGCAACCGCTTGGAAAAATCAGCAGACGTGAGAGGGACAGAGACCAACGTCCTGTGACAATTCAAACAGTAATTTCCAGCTTTCCCTATCTTCAATTTTAAGATCTTTTCGGAGGGCTTGTCCCGAGCTTTATGCAGTACTAACACGGGTACTTCCGCTGTCCAAAAAGTATGCAATTTTATGTCATTGATTCTAGTCCAACAAAATATACAATTTAGACTTGTAGCTGCATAGGATAGCCAGACAATGGGTCCTTTTAGCTACAAGTCTCTGAACCCATCTTCTCCTTGCACCACCTTCTCAGAGCAAGGTCAATAATAGAGCCAAGTGTTTGATTATAAGTCAAACTATAAGAGCTAAGTTATACAAATAATTGTCTTCTACTCCTTCCGTCCTAAAATATAGTGTATTATGGTATTTGAAATTTATCCTGAGCCGTGCAATGGTGAAAAGAGCGGCAAACTCAGCCCGCTGTTGCGCGCCTTCCTTGGACGCATTTTTTTTGCCCTCAAGGGCATATACTCCCATGCCCAATGCCGAGGCATACCACCTTCCTCACGTTGGATGGAGTTGGGGGGGTGTCCCTGCTCTACCTCGCGCTCAAGTTGCTGTAATGTTGCGGAGGCGCTGTTGGCGTCGACTCGTGGCGAAGGCCATCGCCGCGGCCGCGGCAAACACCCCAATGACCAATGATCCCGTGGTCGCGGCCAACCAGATAACGAGTGTGCCTTATCAAATGTTCCACCTGTCGACGACAAAAAAGCGACGAGGAGCCACCGACACGCAGCAAGCCGAGAGAAACCGTGCGGAGTAGATCCCGAGCTCTCTCCAGACTTAGGATAGGCGCCGGACCGGATGGTCATGACCGAGGGCGTGCCAATCAATTTTGAAAGTGCAATCAAGCCTTAATTGTGGGTTTTGGTGATAATGACCATGCAATTAGAGAACTAATGAGATTT